TGCTTGAGGTACAGCTTAAGTCAACAATAGTTCTTTACCTAGATACAATGGAGAATATAAATAAAAAAAGTTTGGTGCTGCTGTCAAGTGCACTGGTAATTGAATATTACTTCTAACCAAATAGTCTGTTTTTTTCTAAAAATGGCAAAATTGCAACAAGAAATTCTGATTTCAATACAGCGAATGTGTCTGGGTTCGCTTCATAGGGAATTCATCAAACCCAAGCTGAAGTCCAGCTTTGCGAAACCTTAAATTAAACCTACTGAAGTCTATGGTGAGGCGAATCTTGATTAGTGATGAGCCGAATGTGCCTGGGCTTGACTCAGGGGACATTCCCTGAATCAGAAATTGCTAATGTTAATCCAAACCCCATCAGGGGTGTGGAATTTCTATCGCCTGATGCCCCGGGACATGCCATTCTGGGCGCCGGGCAGGTAGTTTTTTCTACATTTAGCCCTGCTTTGGGCCGGCAGCAGGGCTAAATGTAGAGGGGAAGTCGTTTTGTACAAGTGATCTAGAGCGGCTATACATTCGCTCAAGATTCCTTGTAACCAGCCTGATTTTCATTCCCCCTCCACGAACACTGCCTCTCTCTCCAGCCACTGGCACTCCTCCATCTCCCTGTGTCACCGCCTTCCGCCTATGTCCCTGCCCGCTGCATCTCTCCCCACCCACCATCTGTCAATGCCCTCCATTGCCCCTCTCCTTGCACGCTGGTGGTCTTTGAGTTCCCCCGCTCTTCTGGGGCACTCGGGACCATGGCAAATTTGATGAGGTTGGAAAGCAAGGAGCAGAGAGAAGAACAACTGTTCTCTGCGCCGTGTGAGCACTAACACAGGAACGCTGCACTCGCATCATTCCTGTCACAGGAGTTCCAGCACAGTGCTGTGCTGGAACTCCTGCATTGGCAGTAATAGGTTCAATAAAGAGAACCTGTCACCTCGAAGTGCTGGACCTGGAAGTAATAAAGTTAAGTGATGAAAAATAAAGTTAAGTGATAAAAAATAAAGTAAAAAATAACAAATGATTAAAAATGGAAACAAATACAAATGATTAAAAATGGAAACAAATACAAATGTAAAAAATAAAAAGGCAATAAATAAAAAAATTATAATATAAAATGAAAATTAAAAATGAAAACTTTTCCAAAGTAAAAAAAATTAAGGAATTAACAAAATTAAAACCAACCCCACTGCCCCACCATTTGCATGTGAATAAACACATTCATACGGCACTGTGTGTGAGCGGAGTGGTGCCCCCATTCCACTGTGTGCCATATTGTGGTGGTCGGGCAGCAACACAATGTGCATTAAGGCCAGGTTCACACCTGGGCGATACATGACCGCGTGGCAATCGTGCATAATACCATGTGGATGGTCGGGCGGTCACGGCATCGCACACCACCTCCGATCACGCTAGCTGTGAAATTATTTTCTGATGGCTACCCAGTCGCACCAGGCAGAGCACACAGTTTTCTGCCGCAATACCGCCCATACAATAGCACACAAACGTGGTTGAAAACACATGTACCTTTTTTTTAACAATTTCCACGCAGATGTAACCCTAATGAAATCAATGGGGCCAAGCAGCAAACACTGTATGCAACCGCACATGATCGCCCAAATCTGCACCAGCCCTAAAGGGTAAATTCACTTTCCCAAGTAATTTGGGAAAATGGAATTACCCTCACAAGTCTGGCCCCCTCTCCCTCCCGCTATACTTACCTTTCAGTGAAAAGTCCTTCCCGTCCACCAGTACGGGTGTATTATCTGTACCTGTGCCATGTGTTCTGAATTTTGCTTGCAAATTGCAAGCACTCGTTGGTCAGCACGGTCACCTGATGGCAGGGACCAATGAGAAGCGCTTCTTAGCACTGCTAAATATGGTTTGGGTTAAAACTATTTTTTTGTATCAGGACAAGTAGATAGCCATTAGGGACAAGTAGATTGGGCCCCCACTTTAGTCCTTGGACGAGTAGTTTTTTAGACAATTTTTTTAGAGATGACGAGGGAGCATGACGCCGGTTTCCCGGCCAATCAGAATGCCGGGCGCTGCGTCATTACACAGCGCCCGGCTTCCGGATTTGCTAGCTTCCTGACCAATCGGGAAGCCGGGCAGCGTGTCATTCCACGCTACCCGGCTTCATAATTGGCCGGGAAGTCGGCTTCCTGCTCTCTCATCACAAGTGACGAGAGAGCATGGAGCCGTTTCCTGGCCAATCAGGAAACCGGGCAGCGTGTAATGATGCGCTGCCCGGCTTCCTGATACAGGAAGTACTCGTGCTAAGTATCGGAGCATTTCGTATTTCCTGCCTGTGTATTGTAATGCAACTCTCAGCAGCAGAAGAGAACCTCTGATTGGTCAACCAAAACGAAATACGAATTCCGTTAACAGAATCCGTATCTGAATTTCGTATTTCGTAATTTAAAAAAAACTGCCATCCACTCCAATATAAATGTACTTTGCTTTTTAACTTCACTATAACGAATGTTCGTAACGGAACGAAAATACGTCAACGGAATTTTGTATTTCCTGCCTGTCTTGTAATGCAACCCTCCGCAGCAGCGGATCCGTATTTCGGATAAAAAAAAAAATCTTGTCATGTTGTTCAACCTCATTTACAGGGGTAATATTAGTTCCTGTTTCAAAGAAATTCGGATCCGAAATTCGTTAGCGGAATTTCGTATTTCGGATATAATTCGGAAACTGCAATTCGAAT